ATTCGACACAAAGTAAGAAAATTTATGCAATGTTTACAATTTTCTTATCAAAAAAATATTGGTAATGCAATACAACAATAATTATAATTTAATACACCCTAAAATATAAGTGGTAAATTTTTCATTTGATTTGAACCAATTTTAAGGGTTGGAAAAAAAATAAAATACTCGGTGTCCCATATATGGGGCACTGGCTTATAATGGGTCAAATGGCGCTAAAATAACATCGTACGTTAAAAATTGCAAACAAAATTTAAAAAACGGTAATTCGATGTGTTAGTTTTTATGATTCAGTATATAATTCGACACAAAGTAAGAAAATTTATGCAATGTTTACAATTTTCTTATAAAAAAAATATTGGTAATGCAATACAACAATAATTATAATTTAATACACCCTAAAATATAAGTGGTAAATTTTTCATTTGATTTGAACCAATTTTAAGGGTTGGAAAAGAAATAAAATACTCGGTGTCCCATATATGGGGCACTGGCTTATAATGGGTCAAATGGCGCTAAAATAACATCGTACGTTAAAAATTGCAAACAAAATTTAAAAAACCGTAATTCGATGTGTTAGTTTTTATGATTCAGTATATAATTCGACACAAAGTAAGAAAATTTATGCAATGTTTACAATTTTCTTATCAAAAAAATATTGGTAATGTAATGCAACAATAATTATAATTTAGTTTGATACACCCTAAAATATATGTGGTAAATTTTTCATTTGATTTGATCAAATTTTAAGGGTTGGAAAAGAAATAAAATACTCGGTGTTCTATAAATAGAACAGTGGCTTATAATGGGTTAAGAAAGTTTTTAAATTCTTTTGAAAGATACTCTTTCGCGTTATCCGTGCGAATTTTTTTGATTTTGACGACCCGTTTGTCTTTCAGCTTTTCTTTTAAAATTTAAAAAAATGGCGGACAACGGTCCACGTCGAACGAGGAGATCACCGACTAAACAAATGCCTATTTTGAGGACCTTCCGAAATCTTACTTTTTAAATCGCTTAAAAAAGTTGGAGAAACGCTTGGAAAAGTGTATAGTGCTAAAAGGAGGTTATGTTGAAAAATTAAAAAAATCTACTTAAAATAATTTGTTCTTCTAATCTTTTTCCAAGGACTTATCGTATGTTAATATGCTTCTCATTTGTACCCTCCACAAATCATAATTGTGCTCTGTTAATTTCTCGATGATCGAGACCATACTAGACGCGGCCATGTTCCTGCACGTTTTTTACGTATTGAACACTTCGACACTTATTTTTTCCTTATATTATTTAACACACTAATGGCCGCACGAATCGCGCGAAGACCGTTGTCCATCACCATTGATATTGTAGACCATAGTGAGATACACGAAGACGCTAGGAATTATAAATATAACCTAAAAAGAAATCTTGTTTGTACAAGTAATATTTCAGAAGCACAGTCTATGGATTGCTCGTTTATTAGCATACGATTACAACAAATTACAGTAGAATCTGTTAGATAACTTTCACTGATAGCTCCAACTATGGTATATCAAAAACTGGAAATTGCTAAATTATGATCTGATTGAAAGAACATACAAAATCAGGGGTTCGAAGTAAATGGCCCTTTCTAACATTTCCAACACATCTCGGTATCTCAACGTCTGCTAGCTGACAAAGTCACGTATACGTGACAGCGGCCGTCAAAGTGTTGACACATAACTGTTGCGTCGACAGGCGTGAAAATTGTAGAATTGGACAGTCCCGATCGGCGAACCAAAGCGTGCCGGGATAGTTGGAAAGAAACGAACGATGATTTTCGTTTGCATGTATTTATTTCACAATAAGTGTAACTTGAATTGTGTTTTGTATGAATGTACAAGAATGTTTCTGGTTGACTGATTGTTGAGAATGTTTGATACAAGGAAAGTTCGTGTGACTGTATGTAGATGTTTGATTGGTCGCAGAATGCACTGGATTAGGGAAGATGAAAGGAGTTCGAAGGAATGGTACTGGAAAGGGATGGTCAAGGTCTTGGAAGTGAAAAGTGACGAGTTGGAAACATTTGGTTGGGATTAGGGATATTTCGGTGACTCGTTAGGTGATTTTTGTAATGCACCGTAACAATAACCGAATGAAATTATGTTTATGATGTGAGTTGTCTTGACTGATTTTATGACTGACTAGCTGGCGAACCGTTCGACCATTGTCGATTCTGTCCTTTGTCTCCATTGAGTCTAGAATGCGTGTGTGTGTGTGTGTGTGTGTGTGTGTGTGCATATATGTGTGTGTGTGAGAGAGAGATAAGGGAGGCAAGTGGTTGCAACCCCAACGGACTGTCGGATGGCCCACACGTGCTCGACTTCGCATTCCTGGATCTACCTTGTTCCGTCGATGTTTTTCACGCAGGGCCCAGGGGCAGACACACGCCGTGAAATGTCCCCGGAGCAGTGATGGACAATCGTGGGAATTTTGGACATGCGCACTAGAATTTTCCCCCGTGGGATTCCTTTTTGCGCATGCGTTAGCTTTCTGCCATAGATGTATCTTTAGATGTAACTTTCTACTCCAAATGCTCGCCAATCACAGAAAAATTAACTTATCGAAGATCCCCTACGTATTTCTCTAGCTATACTCGTGTAGATTAAGTGTAAATTTTTTGTTTTTGTCTCTTACCCTGTCCTTAAATTTTGTTCCTTAATGGGATCCAACGGTACCCTAAATTCTAGTTAAGTGTATACGGTAGTGATCATGCGCTCCAGTGCGCATGACCAAAATTCCCACGAATGTCCATCACTGCCCCCGGAGCAGTGAGGCCAGATCGGGCATAATTGAGTGCATCGAAATCGACAATAGTGACGACGAACTTCCTTAGCGTCTAACGTAGTGGTGGGGATAGCAGGCATACAGGGTGTTCGGCCACCCCTGGGAAAAATTTTAATGGAAGATTCTAGAGGCCAAAATAAGACAAAAATCAAGAATACCAATTTGTTGATTGAGGCTTCGTTAAAAAGATATTAACAAAATTATTAATAAAATTTGTCCACCTACTCGAATTTTTTTCTCGAAACTGCGTAGGATTTCGAAGGTATGTCTTTTGACCAAAGATGCTTGTAATTGACCCCTGCAACTGAAAATATTTTTTCCAGGACGATTTGAAATTTTTTAATTTCACCATAAAGTTTCAGCAGTTTCTTGAATTTTTTTCTGGAATCTCAGTAGGATTTCGGGGGTATGTGTATTCACCAAAAATGCTTGTAATTGACTCTCGCAACCGAAAATAATTTTTTTAGAATGATTTAAAATTTTTTTTTTTCGAGGCACCTACCACCTCTCGATTTTTCTTAAAAATTCGTTTTGCAATTTTAATAAATTTGGTTGACGCTGTACAGAAAAGTTGTTTAATACTTTATTGTAGGTATTCATGAGCTCTACTTCTCTACTGAATTTCAATGAGATAACTTTACTATTGTAGGAGTTATGGTCGTTTGAAAATTGGACCAGTTCTGACGGTGTCAAGGAACGATTTTGTCAATATTGTTAGAATTTCTGCATATTTTTCACCGAAATACGCGTTGTTTGCATTCTGAAACTTTAAAATCCTGCAATCCGTTCAGAAGTTATGACGTTTTAAAGATATGCAAGAAGTTTCACATTAGATTTTCGGTAAGGAATTTTTTTCTCGAAACTGAGTAGGATTTCGTGGGTATTTCTGTTGACCAAAAATGCATGTAATTGACCCCTGCAACTGAAAATAATTTTTCCAGGACGATTTGAAATTTTTTAATTTCACCATAAAGTTTCAGCAGTTTCTTGAATTTTTTTCTGGAAACTGAGTAGGATTTCGGGGGTATGTGTATTCACCAAAAATGCTTGTAATTGACTCTCGCGACCGAAAATAATTTTTTTAGAATGATTTAAAATTTTTTTTCACCGACAGATGCACCCTGTTGATGTTTCTTAAAAATTCGTTTTTCATTTTTAATAAATTTGTTTCACGCTGTACAGAAAAATTGTGCAATACTTTTTTGTAGGCATCTATGAGCTCTACTTCCGAAAAAAGTTTCATTAAAATATATTCGCTATTGTAGGAATTATGACTGTTTGAAAATTGAACCATTTTTATGTGTTCTTTCTCACTTTACGGGGTCAAGGAACAACTTTTTCAATATTGTTAGAATTTCTACATATTATCCACCAAAGTATGCGTTGTTTACCTTTTGAAACATTGAAATCCTTCAATCCGTTCAGGAGTTATGACGTTTTAAAGATTCGCATGAAAATTCGGCCAGAAATTATATTTTCGGTAAGGAATTTTTTTCTCGAAACTGAGTAGGATTTCGTGGGTATTTCTGTTGACCAAAAATGCATGTAATTGACTCCTGCAACTAAAAATAATTTTTCCAGGACGATTCGAAATTCTTTTTTTTCACCATAAAGTTTCAGCAGTTTCTTGAATTTTTTTCTGGAAACTGAGTAGGATTTCGGGGGTATGTATATTCACTAAAAGTGAATGTAATTGACCCACGCAACTGAAAATAATTTTTTCAGAATTATTTGAAATTTTTTATCTTGTCGAAAAAATTTCTGGTCGGTATGGAACTTTAAACGTTAATAAGTTTTTAAGGAAGCCTCAATCAAAAAATTGGTATTCTTGATTTTCGTCTTATTTTGTGCCTCTAGAATCTTCCATTATAATTTTTCCCAGAGGTGGCCGAACACCCTGTTATACTGCCGCACGAGCCACCTGTACGTGAGCTCGACACTTCGGCACAACTTCGGGAAATCGATAAAGAACGCTAGTGTCAGGCTTTCCTTCTTGCTCTTATAAAAAATAAACAGCTGAAACACGACCGCGCGATAATCGGCATACGATTCCATTCCAAGTCTCGACTGCCCCAGAATTTTAACTTTCCGACCTATCTAAGGCGTAAGGAAAGTATCTGTAGTGTTCCCAAAACAAAATCTTAATAAATTTGTTGCCAGGCAGGTTCCTCAGAGTGTTTTTTTTTTCCTAATTGCAGGTTTACAAAACCTCAAACGTTCGCAGACTGTATCGGAAACGAGCTTCCACTTGGATGGGAGGAAGCTTATGACAAGCATGTGGGTGCATACTACATTAATCACGTCAATCGTGCGTATTATTTTCCTTTTTACATGCGATCATGAACGATAACACGTTATATATAAATATATTCTTAGGTATTTATAAACTAAATGCTTTCTGTCGCTAAAATAATAAAATGTCAAATGTTTTCTGAATAAGAGAAATATATGTGCCAAACTTGCAACAAATAATATGCAAAAGTATCTTTATAAGTAATCTTTGATCTATTAATAATTATCACAATACCAATTAATAATACGAAATAAATCGCGCCTAAATAGAATTAGAAATAGATGACAAGTGATACAGCGAGTCGTAAATTATTGGCATGCGCACAAATTTCATAGTATTAAGCAAAATAAGAAAACAATGAGAGGGCTATAATATTTGTTTATGAGAAATATATTAGTTTCGGTTTTGTGGTTAGGGAAGCCATAAAATAATAATGTGAAATTCGTTTGATATTAAAATATACGTTTTTTGTTGTCTACCAATAATTTTGCGATGCAAAACTACGCGAATTCGATTTTTCGTAATTTCATACTTCTATTTTATAATTTTAACAATCGAGGTTCCAAACCATCTATTTACTTTTTGCTTTAAAAAATGATTGCATGTGCCAATAATTTTCCGATTCGCTGTGTGTTATTTTTTTTTACGATTGTTTGTTTTAGAGACGACACAACTCGAAGATCCAAGACAAGAATGGCGCGCCATTCAAGAGGCCATGCTTCGAGAATATCTTCAGACTGCACAAGACGTACTCGAGGTAAGATTTTAAAGACCTTTCAATTACTTTCATTGCCTTTAAGCGCAGAAATAGGTACTAGCCAGTGGTGAGAAGTGTCAATTCACGTTTTATAGTGCAAGTAACCCGTTACATATATTTTACTACGCAATACTTTAGTACATACGTCCTACTAGGTGTTTTAGAAGAGCTGGTTTATCGTAAGAAGTCACAAACTATTTTAAAATTGCTACACATCCTATTTCGATCCACATTTAATTTAAGTTCGGGTTACGTCATAAATCTTGTATTTATTATGGTATAATAAACATACTGTTGCAACCCAGTTGCGGTCCCCCCCAACACATGTTCGTTCGAGGAATAGCCTGCAATATATATCGCACAAAATGTTGTAAGATATTTTCTCTTTAATATCTAAATTCAATGTTTTATACAGAAAGCTGGCTCGAACGTAACTAACTAAATTATTATTAACAAACGATTAACTAATAAAATGAACAACTTCTAATACATACTTCACGCGAAACACACACACATAGTCGGCAATGCCTTCAATCGAAACTCTCACATAATATAACCGCATTCATTCATTACAAGCCTAAAGGTTGCTTGCAATGTATCGTCATCAACATTGTGCGATGAATGCAAATTTCTGGACGCTTGTTTTGATCTGCATTGCGGTGATTTATGTCCCGCTTTTCCACACTTATAACATTTTACTTTGGTACTTCCCCGTCGTTGCAGCCTTACATCCTTCTTGAATTGATTTCTATTATTATTTTGGTCGCGTGGATTATATTTTTGCTTGTATCCATTGCTCCAGAAGAATCAACTGCACTTGACTTGGACCTAGCTTCGCTTTCTTTAATAATTTTTACTTTCAGTGTGTCTGGATTAGGTAACTCGTAGCGAGACTCAATTGCACAGCGAAAACTCTCATAGCTGCTTCGTAGACTATATAATAGAAGAATAGCAGCATGTATTGTTACATCCATAGCAGCTAATTTGTCAATTGCATCGAAAAACTTATTCAAATGTTCTCAAATATCTTCACGTTCTGACATTCTAGACAATGCCAACTGCTTGAGAAATATGAGGCTGGCTTCTCGCTGGCCCTTTAGATGCGTACTCTGTCTCAAGTTTTCTCCAAATTTCATACAAGGTTTCGCAGCCTCGAATCTGTTGCAACTCCTTCGAATGAATTAATTAGACCAATTTGGTGCGATCCTTACATTTTTTTTTATACATTTTTGTCTTGTATCTCTTCTATTCTATTCTATACTATATTTTTTGGGTGCGATACCAGCACTATCGGCTTTGTAATAACACCATTTATCATCTACTTTTGTATCTCTTCTGCATGAACTCTCCAGGAGTCATAATTCTCCTTTGTTAATAGTTTTATACGAGAACAGCTCATCATTGAAGACATCGTTATCTGTCTTAACCCCTTAACGTTCATGCCCGAGCCTGACTGCTTTGAAAAACAATATTTGTTTAGTCCAACGGTTTAAGGGATGATAATATTTGTTTTCCTTTAAATTATACGTTAGATACAACATTGTAATTAACAAAAACCGTACTTTTAGAAACGAATCTAAAAAAGAAAACTGATCATTGTTGGTTAACCCGAAAAATCTGAGCGTTAAGGGGTTAATGGAAAAAAAAGAATTCAATGGGTAGTCTGCGTGAACACGTGCTTCGATCAGTTTCAGGTTATAACCACGCCTGGGACCATAACCTATTAAATAATAGTCCCATTGCATAGGAACTGATTAAATAACTATATATAGACAATATTTAAATGTTAAACGCCACCACTTTAATTATTCATTAGATATTACATAGTTAAACATAAAATACAGTAATGTCGACCATCCGACTCGAACAAAAGACACGGGAATCCCCGCACGATCTTCAACCTTTTAGGTTAAACACATGCCAGAAATGAAATTCAATATTTGATGTAATCTGATTATTTCTGTCTAACGTAACGACAAAATAAGCGATAGAAATATTTCATTTTTTGTGTCGCGGATGAAGAAAGCGCGAGCTTGTTTTTCTTATGCACGAAATATATGTTATTTTTTTATTTAAGTATCATTACATACGTGCAATGAAATTTTTATTTCGAAACAATAACTTTACAAAAATGAATGTGATCTGCAAAGTGGTTAATTTGGATTGCAAAACTTGTATTATACAAGTGGTATACACATATACAGATATTCTTTTCTTGCCATTCTTATCGATAAGTTATTCATATTTATTCATTGGAATTGCAATCGACAAGAAGTTATTTATACAGGGTGTTCGGGCCACCTCTGGGAAAAATTATAATGGAAGATTCTAGAGGCCAAAATAAGACGAAAATGAAGAATACCAATTTTTTGATCGAGGCTTCCTTAAAAACTTATTAACGTTTAAAGTTCCATACCGACCAGAAATTTTTTCGACGAAATTAAAAAATTTCAAATAATTCTGAAAAAATTATTTTCAGTTGCGTGGGTCAATTACATTCACATTTAGTGAATATACATACCCCCGAAATCCTACTCAGTTTCCAGAAAAAAATTCAAGAAACTGCTGAAACTTTATGGTGAAAAAAAAGAATTTCGAATCGCCCTGGAAAAATTATTTTTAGCTGCAGAAGTCAATTACATGCATTTTTGGTCAACAGAAATACCCACGAAATCCTACTCAGTTTCGAGAAAAAAATTCCTTACCGAAAATATAATTTCTGGCCAAATTTTCATGCGAATCTTTAAAACGTCATAACTCCTGAACGGATTGAAGGATTTCAATGTTTCAAAAGGTAAACGACGCGTACTTTGGTGGATAATATGTAGAAATTCTAACAATATTGAAAAAGTTGTTCCTTGCCCCCGTAAAGTGAGAAAAAACTCATAAAAATGGTTCAATTTTCAAACAGTCATAATTCTTACAATAGCGAATATATTTTAATGAAACTTTTTTCGGAAGTAGAGCTCATAGATGCCTAGAAAAAAGTATTGCACAATTTTTCTGTACAGCGTGAAACAAATTTATTAAAAATGAAAAACGAATTTTTAAGAAACATCAACAGGGTGCATCTTTCGGTGAAAAAAAATTTTAAATCATTCTAAAAAAATTATTTTCGGTCGCGAGAGTCAATTACAAGTATTTTTGGTGAATACACATACCCCCGAAATCCTACTCAGTTTCCAGAAAAAAATTCAAGAAACTGCTGAAACTTTATGGTGAAATTAAAAAATTTCAAATCGTCCTGGAAAAAATATTTTTGGTTGCAGAAGTCAATTACATGCATTTTTTGTCAACAGAAATACCCACGAAATCCTACTCAGTTTCGAGAAAAAAATTCCTTACCGAAAATATAATTTCTGGCCAAATTTTCATGCGAATCTTTAAAACGTCATAACTCCTGAACGGATTGAAGGATTTCAATGTTTCAAAAGGTAAACGACGCGTACTTTGGTGGATAATATGTAGAAATTCTAACAATATTGAAAAAGTTGTTCCTTGCCCCCGTAAAGTGAGAAAAAACTCATAAAAATGGTTCAATTTTCAAACAGTCATAATTCTTACAATAGCGAATATATTTTAATGAAACTTTTTTCTGAAGTAGAGCTCATAGACGCCTAGAAAAAAGTATTGCACAATTTTTCTGTACAGCGTGAAAGAAATTTATTAAAAATGAAAAACGAATTTTTAAGAAACATCAACAGGGTGCATCTTTCGGTGAAAAAAAATTTTAAATCATTCTAAAAAAATTATTTTCGGTCTCGAGAGTCAATTACAAGCATTTTTGGTGAATACACATACCCCCGAAATCCTACTCAGTTTCCAGAAAAAAATTCAAGAAACTGCTGAAACTTTATGGTGAAAAAAAAGAATTTCGAATCGCCCTGGAAAAATTATTTTTAGCTGCAGAAGTCAATTACATGCATTTTTGGTCAACAGAAATACCCACGAAATCCTACTCAGTTTCGAGAAAAAAATTCCTTACCGAAAATATAATTTCTGGCCAAATTTTCATGCGAATCTTTAAAACGTCATAACTCCTGAACGGATTGAAGGATTTCAATGTTTCAAAAGGTAAACGACGCGTACTTTGGTGGATAATATGTAGAAATTCTAACAATATTGAAAAAGTTGTTCCTTGCCCCCGTAAAGTGAGAAAAAACTCATAAAAATGGTTCAATTTTCAAACAGTCATAATTCTTACAATAGCGAATATATTTTAATGAAACTTTTTTCTGAAGTAGAGCTCATAGACGCCTAGAAAAAAGTATTGCACAATTTTTCTGTACAGCGTGAAAGAAATTTATTAAAAATGAAAAACGAATTTTTAAGAAACATCAACAGGGTGCATCTTTCGGTGAAAAAAAATTTTAAATCATTCTAAAAAAATTATTTTCGGTCTCGAGAGTCAATTACAAGCATTTTTGGTGAATACACATACCCCCGAAATCCTACTCAGTTTCCAGAAAAAAATTCAAGAAACTGCTGAAACTTTATGGTGAAAAAAAAGAATTTCGAATCGCCCTGGAAAAATTATTTTTAGCTGCAGAAGTCAATTACATGCATTTTTGGTCAACAGAAATACCCACGAAATCCTACTCAGTTTCGAGAAAAAAATTCCTTACCGAAAATATAATTTCTGGCCAAATTTTCATGCGAATCTTTAAAACGTCATAACTCCTGAACGGATTGAAGGATTTCAATGTTTCAAAAGGTAAACGACGCGTACTTTGGTGGATAATATGTAGAAATTCTAACAATATTGAAAAAGTTGTTCCTTGCCCCCGTAAAGTGAGAAAAAACTCATAAAAATGGTTCAATTTTCAAACAGTCATAATTCTTACAATAGCGAATATATTTTAATGAAACTTTTTTCGGAAGTAGAGCTCATAGATGCCTAGAAAAAAGTATTGCACAATTTTTCTGTACAGCGTGAAACAAATTTATTAAAAATGAAAAACGAATTTTTAAGAAACATCAACAGGGTGCATCTTTCGGTGAAAAAAAATTTTAAATCATTCTAAAAAAATTATTTTCGGTCGCGGGAGTCAATTACAAGCATTTTTGGTGAATACACATACCCCCGAAATCCTACTCAGTTTCCAGAAAAAAATTCAAGAAACTGCTGAAACTTTATGGTGAAAAAAAAGAATTTCGAATCGTCCTGGAAAAAATATTTTTAGTTGCAGAAGTCAATTACATGCATTTTTGGTCAACAGAAATACCCACGAAATCCTACTCAGTTTCGAGAAAAAAATTCCTTACCGAAAATATAATTTCTGGCCAAATTTTCATGCGAATCTTTAAAACGTCATAACTCCTGAACGGATTGAAGGATTTCAATGTTTCAAAAGGTAAACGACGCGTACTTTGGTGGATAATATGTAGAAATTCTAACAATATTGAAAAAGTTGTTCCTTGCCCCCGTAAAGTGAGAAAAAACTCATAAAAATGGTTCAATTTTCAAACAGTCATAATTCTTACAATAGCGAATATATTTTAATGAAACTTTTTTCGGAAGTAGAGCTCATAGATGCCTAGAAAAAAGTATTGCACAATTTTTCTGTACAGCGTGAAACAAATTTATTAAAAATGAAAAACGAATTTTTAAGAAACATCAACAGGGTGCATCTTTCGGTGAAAAAAAATTTTAAATCATTCTAAAAAAATTATTTTCGGTCGCGAGAGTCAATTACAAGTATTTTTGGTGAATACACATACCCCCGAAATCCTACTCAGTTTCCAGAAAAAAATTCAAGAAACTGCTGAAACTTTATGGTGAAAAAAAAGAATTTCGAATCGCCCTGGAAAAATTATTTTTAGCTGCAGAAGTCAATTACATGCATTTTTGGTCAACAGAAATACCCACGAAATCCTACTCAGTTTCGAGAAAAAAATTCCTTACCGAAAATATAATTTCTGGCCGAATTTTCATGCGAATCTTTAAAACGTCATAACTCCTGAACGGATTGAAGGATTTCAATGTTTCAAAAGGTAAACGACGCGTACTTTGGTGGATAATATGTAGAAATTCTAACAATATTGAAAAAGTTGTTCCTTGCCCCCGTAAAGTGAGAAAAAACTCATAAAAATGGTTCAATTTTCAAACAGTCATAATTCTTACAATAGCGAATATATTTTAATGAAACTTTTTTCGGAAGTAGAGCTCATAGATGCCTAGAAAAAAGTATTGCACAATTTTTCTGTACAGCGTGAAACAAATTTATTAAAAATGAAAAACGAATTTTTAAGAAACATCAACAGGGTGCATCTTTCGGTGAAAAAAAATTTTAAATCATTCTAAAAAAATTATTTTCGGTCTCGAGAGTCAATTACAAGCATTTTTGGTGAATACACATACCCCCGAAATCCTACTCAGTTTCCAGAAAAA